GTCTTTTACACAGCCAGGGAAGGTCCCAGCTTTCAACAGATTGTTTTTTATTATATTCAGCGGAGTAGTCAATTCTTCAATAGAGGCAACACAAATTGTATCTTCAACAACATTAGAACTCTTGTCATGCTTCGGCATCAGAGCGATAATTACATTCGACGTTGGAAGAGGATCAAAATCAATAGTCTTGTTGTAAACCAAATCCTAGATTTTGTTCTTCAAGGCCCAGCACTGGTCAGTCTCGTGCGACAATGATGCGACAATGAGTGGAAACAAACACGTGGCAGAAGATCCACAAATCGTGGAAGTGAGGAGAAGCCACACAGAGAGAAATCAAATCGAAAATACAATAAATAGGCAAGATCTTTTATGAGAATAGTGTGGAATGTGTGAAGTTCTCTGTCTTCCTTGGATCCGTTAGGATATTTTATTCTGTTCTGTAACAAACTATTGGAATTGGTATTATTCCATTGTTGTGTTTGTACTTACATCCCTTCCATTATAATTAATAGCTTCATTTCCATTTGAATTCAGTTGTTTAACACATTACAAATTGGTGCTTTCATTATCACCATGGCCGACGACACACGTTTTCGTACCATTGAAAACCAACTTCAACAATTTTCTGACACCATCCATAACTAGATTCAGACTCGCTCACTAGCCTCATAGAGACGGTCACAAACCACAACCAATCCATCACTGATAACGCCGCCAGGTTAGAACGCATGGAATCCATCTTTCAATCCATAGCCGCAATTATAAAAAGTACACCAATGCACCATCAAGAACTTTAGCTCTGCTGAGATTCAATTGTGTAGGGAAAAAGGTCTTTGCTATTTTTGTGACGACAAGTTTAGCCCACAACTCGGTGACTCTGACGACACATACAATGTACCTAATTCTGACACTCTGGTGATTATATCATCCAAAATAGAGGTGCCGAATGTCGCCCATCACCTATCTTTAAATGCCATGAACGGATTCTCTTCAGTGGGTACAATCTAGTTCCAAGGATACGTGAATGGTGACCTAGTGCAAGTGTTAATTGACGACAACACTGATAATTTTTTACAACCTAGGGTTGCTAAGTTTATGAAAATGCCTGTTGAGTTTGATCCAAATTTCAATGCTTTAGTTGGGACTGGTAATAAGATAGTTGCTGATGGCAAAATTTTGGACTTACAAATGTCTATTCAAGGTCACGAAATTTTGGTTCCTATATTCTTATTACCTTTTGCTGGGGCGAATCTGAATTTAGGCTCATCTTGGTTAGCCACGTTAGGGCCTCATGTGGCAGATTATGGTGCCTTAGCCTAAATTTTTTCTATAAAAGGACATTTGTCACGTTGTAAGGTCAACATACCATTCCACCTGGACATGCACAATTACACCACCTGGTCCCCCTACACAATACTCAAGCCATCTCTGAATTATTCACCTTATATTGTTTTCACATGGTCAATGAAGCCTCAAAACCAATGACACTTCCATCAGAGATGCCTACAGACTTAGCAACCTTGTTGTTGTCCTATAGCCACATGTTTCAAAATCCTTCTGCTTTACCCCCTCTCAGATTACTAAGGTGGTCAAGGTTCGTGCATATAGGTACCCTCACAGCCAAAAGGCTCAAATAGAGCTTATGGTGTAGGACATGTTATCTCAGGGTATTATCCAACCGAGTAATAGCCATTTTTCCTCATATGTCATCCTTGTCAAGAAGAAAGACGAAACATGGCGATTTTGCACTAATTATCGTGCTTTGAATGCTCTTACCATCAAGGACAATTTTCCTATCCCTACGGTGGACGAATTGCTCAATGAGTTATTTGGAGCTAAATTTTTCTCCAAATTAGATTTGAGACCGGGATACCATCAAATATTGATGAGTCCATCTGACAGGCACAAAACAACATTGTGTACTCATCATGGTCTATCAAACGCACCTGCTTCCTTTCAATGTTTGATGAACCAAGTGTTTAAATTTGTGCTTTAGAACTTTGTGTTGGGATATTCTCATCTATAGTCCTTCATGGCTCGCCCATTTAGAACATCAACAAGTGGTTCTTCAGCTTCTCAGTGACCACCGATTGTTTGTCTAAATGCTCTTTTGGCTTGAATGAAGTAGAGTACTTAGGACACATTGCTACTATTGCCTCACTTTTAACTGATCTGTTAAAGAAAGACAATTTTAGTTGGTCTCCTCAAGCTCAATCAACTTTTCTCACTTTAAAGCAAGCGATCATTTATGCCCCTGTGCTAGTCCTGCCATATTTTTCGCAACCCTTTATGTTGGAAACTGATGCATTAAGTTTGGGCATAGGTACAATGCTAAGTCAACAAGGCTACCCTATCGCGTATTTCTCTAAGAGGCTAGGTCCACATGTGCAAAAACAACCAGCTTATCTCAGGGAATTTCGTGCCATCACTGAAGCTTTGGCTAAGTTCATACACTATTTACTAGGCAATAAATTTATCATTTGCACTGATCAGAAGAGTTTAAAGGCTTTGTTGGATCAGTCCCTGCAAACACCAGAGCAACAGGCTTGGTTGCACAAGTTTTTAGATTTTGACTTCACCATCGAATATAAGCCCGACAAAGACAATGTTGCGGCTGACTCTCTTTCCCGTATATTTGCACTGGCCTGGTCTGAACCACTACAATTGTTTTTACAAGAACTTTGAGTAGCCATAAGAGCATGCCCTCACTTTGGTCCTATTTTTCAACTATGCTTGACTGACAAGGCACCTCACCAAAGTTATGCTGTGAAGGATAACTTGCTGTATTGGAATGATAGGCTTGCTGTTCCACCTAAGAGCTCCTTAATTTCAAAGATTTTGCAGGATTATCACAAATCATTTATTGGAGGCCGTGAAGGAATCTCCCGAACTATAACTCGCATTTGTAGTCAGTTTTATTGGCCACAGATGAAACATGACATTACTGAATATGTGAAGCTATGTGCCATTTGTCAACAGGCTAAACACTCTACGACCCTTCGTGTTGGGTTGTTAAGTCCCTTACCCATTCCTACTCAGGTCTGGAAGAATATTGCCATGGATTTTAAAACGGGATTGCCGAATTCTTGTGGTTTTACTGTCATTTTTGTGGTTGTGGATAGACTTGCCAAATTTGGTCATTTTTTCCCGTTGAAGACTGACTATGATAGTAAGCTTCTGGCTGAACTTTTCACCAAAAATATTGTCAAACTACACGGGATGCCGAAATCAATAGTTTCAGACAGAGATAAAGTCTTTACTAGCAAATTCTGGCAACACTCATTTAAATTGCAAGGGACGACATTGGCCATGAGTTTAACTTATCATCCTCAAAATGATGGCCAAATCGAAGCTTTGAATAAATTTATCAAAATGTACATTCGATGTATGACATTCCACAACCCTAGAATTTGGTCTAAGATCTTACACCTGGCGGACTATTGGTACAATACTGCCTTTCAAACCAGTGCTGCCATCACACCATTTAAGGCCTTGTATGGCAGAGATCTTCCCACACTAACTAGTCCTCTGCCATTACTGCAGGAGTGGATGATGGGGTCACTGCCCAACTCATGACAAGGGAACACATTCTGATTCGGTTACAATAAAACCTGCACAAAACACAACAGTTAATGAAAAATCAAGTTGACAAGAAAAGATAGCATGTCAGATTGGAGACCTTGCCTTGGTTAAGCTGCAACCATATCAACAAGTCACTGTTAGCCATAGATAGAATAAAAAATTGAGCCTCAAGTATGGACCTTTCAAAGTGATTGCCAAGATTGGCTCTGTAGCCTACAAGTTGGCCTTACCTCGAAATGCGCGCATCCATCCTATTTTTCACATTTCCCAGCTAAAGAAATTTATGGCCATTGACAATATTCCGTACCAAGTACTCTTCAGAATGTGATCCCATCATGGTGCCCGAATGGATTCTGAAGACTCGTACTATATTGAAGGGCCCCCTTAAGGTACCTCAAGTTCTTGTCAAGTGGCAGACTTTAGATACATCTATGGCCACATGAGAGGATCAACATGACATGCTTTATACCTTTCATAATTTCAACCTTCATGACAAGGTTGATGTTAATTGGGGAAGTATTGTAAGGAATGATGAGACAATGAGTGGAAACAAACACGTGGCAGAAGATCCACAAATCGTGGAAGTGAGGAGAAGCCAGAGAGAGAAACCCAAATCTAAAATACAATAAATAGACGAGATATTTTATGAGAATAGTGTGGAATGTGTGAAATTCTCTCTTTCTTGGATCCGTTAGGATATTTTATTCTTTCTGCAACAAACTATTGGAATTAGTATTATTCCATTGCTGTGTTTGTACTTGCATCCCTTCCATCATAATTAATAGATTCATTTCCATTTGAATTCAGTTGTTTAACATATTACAAATATCATAACACGCTTGAATTTATTTTATTGTAATAATGTCATATCATTTGAATGGTGGTCTATGTGACACAAATATCCTTTACAATCTTGGTATTATAGGCGAGCAAAACATTAATTTCACTAGGACTCATTTCTACATTATGAACATTATCTAACCAAAATTTCTCAACAAAACAGAAACATACTAACCAAAATCCTAGCAAATTTTGAACATCTAATAAATAAGTTGGGCATATTAAATATATATGTGCATGATGCATTAACTCAGGGGTGTTGAAATATATTATGACTATTTAGATTTTTATATTAATTGATTTTAGTTTATTTTATGTGTTTCTTCTCTCCTTAATTTTAGGAATTGATTAGGTGCCTTTTCTCCTATAAAATGAACACCTTTTTATTTATACAAAGATACAATTGAATGCCAAATAATTTGAAATTCCAAATGAGACATATAATATAAAATGAAGGTGTAATATTTTGATAATAATAATACTAAGTTATTAATGTTAACAAATTCTAAAATACTAAAGCCTAACAAGAGTTTAATAACTCAATAATTGAAAGAAAATAGTAAAATGATGGAAATGGATCAATCCATATCCATTTGAACAACAGGCACTTTCTGTCCCAACCACACTGCAGAGTCAGTGGGCTCTATAACCTTAACGTATCCATCTGACAGTCCAATTGCAAACTGATATGGATTTTCTGGATGTACTGCTACGACAAGAGGGTACACATTTTCACTGCACAAAATAAACAAACATTTAAGGATTATTTTTCTGCTGAAAATAGCCAAAAAAATCATGTAAGAAAATTCATGTCAACTTCCATTAGAATATTTCATCCCAAAATTCTAAGCATTTTAAGATTATAGAGCCAATACAGGAATTGTTAGCGCCTAGTGAAATTTGAATCTGAGACTTTAACAGTAACACACTCTCGGGTTCTAAGTCTTCACCAACATGCCAACTCCTGCGCGGTTCCATGCATGTAAGGAAACTAAATAAGTGTAAGCGCGTGTAATTTGTTCACAAACCTGTCTGATGGAGTCTGATACAGGTATGCAGATGAACCAATACGAGATCTTAGTTGGAGACTTTCAGAATCAAATACTCCAATGCTTCCATCTAGAAAAGTTGCATAAACTAATTGTCCATTGCAGGAGTATGCTGCAGAGGTTATGGCAGCAGACAACCCGTCTTGCGGAAGCCACTGTTACATACGTACATAAATATGTCACTAATTCACTCATCAGGAAAACAAAAATATAGCTGCATTTTAACTTCTGAGAAAAGTACTGTTTTCATAGAAGAAGCGGTCTGAGTGCTTACCTGACAAATCAATTCCATTTCTGAAGCATCATATATTGCTATCTGTGTCTCATGACATACCAACAACTTCACTTCATCAATGTGAAATTGAATTTTAGTCTCACCCGAAAGTGCCTTTTCACAACCTGACATTTGGATCGACACTGATTTCTTCTTATCCCATGTGCTCATGCACCATGAAGAAATCTACAAATACATCAAACATATATATTCCATTTTTTAATCAAACTTCGCAGTTTTCTTAACAGTATAATCGAAATCCACTATGCTATATAACACTGCTATTTGACAACACTGACTAATATTTTTATAGAAGTCGCATTTAAACATACCTGACCATCAGCGCTCGAAGAAACCATCGTATTCAGTCGACGCGAAAAAACTATACCAGTAATGTATTTTTGATGGCCCTTCAATATAGTTGTAAGCTGAAAAGCAAACAGCTTCAAATCATTATATATATGATTATCGAAACTATCTACCTATAAATTTTGTTCTCCTTAATTTACAAATTCATTACCTCATGATACCTAATGTTGAAAATATTAATCTCCGAATCCTCCCTTCCGATTATGACAGTGTTGTTGTCTTCCGGATTAAACGCGAGAAATGTTGCAGCTGGTGGAGCATGCATAAAACCAGTCATCACCTGAAGTTCAACCATAATTCGTCACAAAGCACACAAAAAATAATGAGATTAAACCGAATAAATTATTCATAAATAACGAAAGCTCACTCTAAACGATATTAAGTTGAACAACGAAATGGTTCCGCCACATGCAGCAACAACGTAGGCATCATTCTTTGAGATGTCTAAGCATGGAATCGCCGAATCACAGTTGTTTAGGACATCATGAGTCATAAGTAAACCACTAGATGGCCTATACTCTTTAGGAACAAATCTTGCCGTCGCCATTCCCATAGGATTCAAAGCATTAGGAATCCATTTCCACAGCTTCTGAACTCCTTTCGAACCAAGAGCTAGAAGAGCATCTCCATTATTTGAGTAACGAAGACGAACAACCTTAGGCAGAAAAGATTAAAACTTTATCATCATGAAATTATTGGCACAAAAACTGAAATATATTAATCAAACATGTCTTGCAATAAATGAAAGGTTGCATTGAATACCTTGTTACCCGGACCCATATTCTCTGGTATAGTAACGATTCGATACCGAACAGGATGAACAATTAATCCATTCTACAATAGATAAATTACAAAATGAATATCTTGTATGTTAGATTCATGCTAGTGAAGATGGTAAGTTATAGACAGATACAAACATTTGTGTCGATTCGTTGTATAGATTCTTCAATGTCCCTTAAGTATTTGAGACTATCGGCGTTAGCAAGGATTTTAAAACCACCATCGTCTGTAGTAACCGCGAGCAGATTTCCTTCCCGATTGAATTTCAAGCGAGGTAGAGTCTGACACAAGGCATCAACCACGTCAACGATTTTTCACAATCTATTGTGTTCGATTATTGAACAACAATGATTTTTAACAGTAAATTATAATATCGCATTAGGCCTCAACAATGTCAAATAGTTCTCACCAAAATGTATAAAAATACGGAAAGTATAAGGACTATATATACTTACAGGAAGACCACCCTCGGCATCTGTAGAAGTCAGAACATCAATTCTATCCATTTCCCAAAACTTAATCTGGTTCTCCACACCAACAGCCAAAAACCGATTCTTCACAACATCAAATTTCACTATACCCGCAGTTTCGTTTCTAAATCCAGAATATTTTTTTTCTATTGCTCCTTCATCTTCATTCCACTCAACCAGGAAACATTCTCCATCGTTACTTGTTCCGCAAGAAAACAATCTAAACATGCAAAATCATATTACAACTCACATAATAAAACCTTACATCGGGTTAAACAAAAAGCGATATGTATAATCTTGATTATTCCTCATTTTCTTACCTATTTCCATCAGCATTATACATCAGTGTCGTGCAACACTGTCCCGGAGTATCGTATTCCAGCTGAAAGTTCTTGTCATAATACACCGAAGCGCGAATCTTCCCGTCAACCGAAGTTGATAATATAAACTGCAAGAATACGATGTCATAACATCATTGTCAACCACTCACTACACCGTATTCAACGAAGAGGAACCGAATAAACAGCGACAGGAGTATTTAACCTGGATATTTTCCTTCCCGTGAGGAAGAACGGAATAAACAGGCGCTCCATGACCTTCGAAGATAAATATTACATGTCCATCCAAATCCCATACCTGTATTTATCACTCTTCAATTAGTACTAATTAAAGTTACATTCAAATAGATGCATAAAAGTAAAATCTATTATAAACTAGAAACTTTTCTGTCACCTTAATTAACATATCATCACCACAAGTTACCATACATAGCTGACTGTTTGGATATGAAAATGACAAGTCATTAACAGAACCATCATGAGCATCAATCTGTAATCATGAAAAAAAGATACTATTGATCATGAATTTCAAATAAAATTTTTATTCGATTCGTATAAAAAATTTGATATGAAAATACCTCCAAATGCTCCTGTAGGCCATTAGGAATATGATAGCTATACAAATGAACCAAATGTTTTGCATAAGCAATCCCTGAAATGAAAAGAAATATGTATTATAAACTAGTAACCAAGCAACAAAATGGAAAAATATTATTACAATATTTACCAAGTAAACCCGCACTCGGGCTCCATGATACACGATTGACAGGCATCGACAATTCTTTCATACTCAGCGCCTGTGCAAAAGACCGCTGTTACTTTATTTTTGTGAAGAGTATTCTTTAAACAGATATGCATGATCCATATTCAATTATGAAGTTGAATAATTTGAATAGACCTGAAATTTGACCGAACAATTCGAGATATTCCATATGTTGAAAGGCTTAGATATGAGCCTCTCTCTCAGACTTGCTTCCCAAAGTGAAACTTCACCGTTTGCGCTACCAACTGTTTCAATGAAATTCTCTAGGTTAGTAGAAAGGTTAATTAAGTTTATGCGTAATATACGAAAGACGTTGTGAATTTTAACCTACCAGCTAGTATAGAATGAATGAAAGGATGAAACTCCATGCTTGTCACAGTTGATCCCTGATGCAACTTACAAACAACAGTTCTAGGAAGTTGATCGAACAACGGATTCACTGGTTCAGGTTCAGGTTCAAAGGTATATGGGGCCTGCACAGGTTCAGGTTCATGTACTTCTTCATCAGCTTGTGAAGAAGGGATCGGTCTCATTTCTTGATCAAGGTCGTTACTTTGATCATCCATCGGTTCAAGAGTGTTACTTTGATCATCCATCGATTCAAGTGTATTCGGCATTTCTGAATGCATCGGAACAGAGACTGCAAGAAATTCACAATAGAAAGATTATAATAGTTCTTCAGCTACTACAGTCATGATGTTATGATGTCTGTGTAAAACTATTTTACATTGACAGTGTATCTCTATTAAACTTTACGCAACAAAAAACTGTCAAAGATATACCTTGAGTTGAAGTATCAGGCAATGAGGATGCTGCAATTTCAGCAGGTGATTGAGAAGGCAACGAAGGATTTTCATTTACCGGCAATGTTGTAACAGCATTAGGAGTAGGAACTGAAAGAGCAGGCGACGAAGGATTTTCATTCACCGGCAATGTTGTAACAGCAATAGGAGTAGGAACTGAAAGAGCAGGTGACGAAGGATTTTCATTCACGGGCGATGTTGTAACAGGATTAGGAGTAGGAGCAGCCGAAAGTGGCTGCACGAAATTAAGTAATAATAAGTTGAAATGCAACAACCAAATGCATATCAGGAGCAGAAAATATAAATTTATCAATGAACATGAAAATAAACAGAAAAATTAAGTTCAGACCGCAATTGCATAAGAGGGATAGTTTGCAGCATCTGCAGCAGGAGGCACAGACAGAGTAGGCGTGCGAGGCCTATATTTTCGAGGCGAAGAACAAGTATGGTCAATCAACAAAGTTTTAATTTCTGGATTTTGCTTTGGATTCTTGCATAGCTGATGCTGCCAATTCAAACTGAATAGAGAACAATGACAACTTTAGCCAAGATAAATTACAGGCCTAAACGTAGGCACAATTGGCCGAACTCTGTGATCAAAATCTCAAACTCATCTGTTATCTGTTTATTTTTTCGTATCGTTTTACTTTGGAACAAAGGTTGTTTTACTAAAAATAACTTTATTTACCCTTGATTAATCAGGCGTCGCAAGCGCGATGGTGAGAAGGAAGGAAACACAAGCTTATCTCTGAAGCTGGGATTAGCTTCAATCAGTTTCTTTAGCTCAGATACCAATATGGCTCTAGACGAATTGATATCGCCATACGATGCTAACTGTGGATTCTCCCTGCATTAAAACCAAATCTAGATTTAAAATGCAACCAATTTTTAACATCTTTCAATTCATAGTCAATAACATGATTGAAAAAAATTGAAAGCAAACATTTACCTGAAGTTATCAAGAGTAATTAAATGTGCTATATCCTTGTATAAATCTTCATCAAGTCTTGAAAAGATTTTCAGATCTTTCACCAAAATACTCACAGCCGACATTTTGTCTTGCCTGAGCACAAACAAGATCAATTAAACATTAAATAAAACAATAGCACTTCATTAATTTTTCCGCGAATCTCCACAATTTTAACGTTTCAAATCGAGTTCTACAATTGTGATCTAGGTCACAGCATAAATTTTTTTAAAGTTGTTGAAATCAAAACCACTACGGAATTATGATTGAGTTTGCATTTGACTGCGATTCTCAACAATATCAACTATCAGACGCGTCCTCGATCTTTATTTAAAATGATAATGAAGTCATGATGATGATGATGATGATGATGATGATGATAAAGATAAAGATCAGTACCTGTCCAAGGCTTCAAAATACTTTTGCTTCCTGATCTCGAAGAAAATCTTCGTGGTATATCGATTTTCATTGATATTAGTAAATCCATTGAGGTAGTTCTCAGTTTCATCCCAATCTCCAGTAAGGATTTTATCTTCAAAATACTTTATATTGAAGAAGAGACCAGTTTCTGATTCCATCCTAAAAATCACCAACAAAACACAGAAGAAGAAAAAAACATGAATCAATCTCAATCAATTTATCATAAAAAAAAAACAGAAAATAGTGTTTACTTGTGCATGGTTTCCTTCAAGTTCTCGTAGCCGAGATATTGGATTATGAGTAGCTTCATTTCCTTGTTCATAGCTGCCATTTTTCTAGCTCAGAGTTATAAGAATCAAAAGACTCTCTCAGGAGAAAAAAACGATTAGTGAGTTGAAAATTTGATAGCTTTTTCTTGGTGGTGTTTATATGTAATGCAGCTGGAGCTAGGGAGAGAAAAACGACGACGTTGTGTGATGACGGAAATGAAGAAGAAAAAAAGGTGACAGAAAAAGTTCGCGTTGTTCGAGGTTTGGTCGTGAAGTGATTTTTGTTTCAGTGATGTGTGCACGGTTTTATTATCATCGTACTTGAACAAAGATTGATAAGCAACTGCGCTTATCTTATCATATTGGAAAAAGAAAAAGAAAAAAAAAGGAAAATAATCAACGTCTCTTTTTCTTTTTCTTTTTCTAATTAAAAATAAAACAGCAGCTGTATACCACGTCGCTTTCACGACCATTCCAAAAAAACTATTTCAATTTATGTATTCAATTGATTTCTTTTTAAGTATATTTGACTCTTATATTATTTTTTTAAAGATAATATTTAAATATGTTAATTTCAGCGATAAAATGAATCTTTTATTACATTTTTTATTACTATTAGTTCTTGAAATAGTTGAAATATGAAAAATAATTAAAACATTAAGTATTTTTTACTTGTATATTATTTTTTTAAGATGATATTTAAATAGGTCAATTTCAGGATAAAGTTCATTTTTTATAATTTTTTTATTACTAATAGTTTTTGAAATAGTTGAAATATAAAAAATAGTTAAAACATTAAGTAATTTTTACATTTATATTATTTTTTTAAGTTGATATTTAAATAGGTCAATTTTAGGATAAAGTTCATTTTTATTATTATTTTTTTAACAATTCAAAATTGATTATATTAAAATCACTATTACAATGTCAGGATTGAGCCCACAAAGAAATAAAGAAGTCCAAAAAACACTCAATTACATCATCAGGTTGACTATATGATTGTTTAGAGTGCTACAATGTCAACCCCTAAAAATAATGGTATCCATAATTTGTCTCAACACCTTCATATAATCAACTTTATTCCCAAAACATTTCTCGTTGCGAAAATTCCAAACACCATAGACAACCTCAGTAATAGCAAGTTTGAAAAGGGTGTTCCTCCAGCCTTTATCTTTACTTTTCTCTGTAATCTAAGCTAGCTCCTCATTCCATGGTTTAGAGATATAGCTCACATTAATCCACTTGGGGATATCAACCCAAAACTGTCTCAGACCAACATAATAAAAAAGGATATGATCAATAGTTTCATCCTTTTTACATAAACAACAACCAATTTCAGAAATAAATCTAAATCGAAATAACCTATCCTTAGTGGCTAATTTACGATGACAAGCTAGCCACAAAGAGATAATAACTCTAGGCCTAGCAGGATTATTGAAGAACAGGGAATTCCAATTAACCACCGGATCATCTTTTCTCAACTGGGAGTATACAACTTTCATGGAGAATTTTCTATCAACCATCATGCCATCCCACAGGCTCTGCATCGTCTAAATATGGTCTCTTTTGCCCATCATCTGTTTCATAATTCAAGTCCCATTATCCAATATCTTAGCATCTATAATGTTAACATTTTTCATATAATAGGAATGGATCCAACGAACCCAAAGATTATCCTTCTTAGAACAAAGATTCTAAAGGAGCTTGCGCATCGTAACATCATTCCAAATAATCAAATCAATAAGGCTTAGACCACCAGATTCCTTAGAACTACAGACTTGTTTCCAGGCTACAGGGCTTTTTCTGCTTAAGCTATCTTTATCAGACCAGAAATATGATCGACAAATAGAATCAATCTTATGAATCACCATTTTAGGAATGGGAAAACATGTTAGCCAATAATTAGTCATAGCAAGAGTAATAGATTTAATAAGTTGAAGCCTACATGCTGCACTCAATAAGTGAGAGGACCAATGCCTAGTCATGCTGACAATTTTCTCCACAAGGGGTATGTAATGATTGATCGAAAGTTTCTTCGAAGTGAGAGACACTCCCAGATATCTAAAGGGGAGGTTTCCTTCATGAAAAGAAGTCAGTCAAATTGAGGATTTAAAGTTTGGTGCCACAGTCCACAGCTCCAAAATAGATTCTGTTTTTATTATGATTAATTTTCATACCTGTGGAACTTGTGAACTTATCAAAAGCCTACATCATGAGATTCATAGAACCAGAATCACCTCTAAAAAACAAGAGAAGATCATCTGCAAAAGCAAGATTGGTGAGCTGGAGTTTTTCACATTTAGGATGATGATTAAAGTTTGGATTCAGCTGCATCTGGTGTAGGCATCTGTGCATATACTCCACAGTAATAACAAAGAGGTAAGGGGAAATGGGATCCCCTTGCCTGATGCCCCTCTTAGCATGCAACATTCTGGAGAGAGAGTCATTAATATTAAATCATAAGAAACAGAAGTAACAGTAGTCATGATCCATCTACTGAAATTGTTGGGAATGTCAATTTCCTGCAGGATACTCTCAAGGGCCCTCCAATCAGTCATATCATAAGCCTTCTGCATATCAATTTGTATCATACATCTAGGAGTACCAGCTTTTCTAGAATAACCCTTAATAAGTTCATAAGCAAGAAGCACATGATTGTGGATATGTTGGCCAGGGATGAAAGCTGCTTGGTTAAAACTAACAATGCTACCAATCACTTGCCCCAATCTATTTGTCAAAAATTTTGAAATAATTTTATAAACAGTTGAGCATACAAATGTTGGTCTAAAATCTTTGATATTCTTAGTTGGGAATGAGAGTAATAATAGTGCAATTGAAATAGTTCTTGAAATAGTTTAAACATAATAAATAAAAATATAAACACAAAATTTAAAATTAGCATATTAATATACAGACAAATGATTCAAGATGTAAATATAATATTAAAAGATATATTTTTAAAACACAAATCAATAAAATATTTTTCACCCCTATCTTTTTCAAAATATGAAGGTGAAATATATTTATTTAAAATTTTTTTTTAAATATTAAGGTGAAATATATTTCAAAATTGATTAATCAATATCTTATCTTTTAAAAGAAATTAGTTTCTAACCCCTTAATAAATAATGGTGCGTCAATATAATTAACTGATGCACTCGTACATTGTAATTTTCCGCCATTTAAGTTAAAAGGTTGAATCTTCTCACTGTCAATTTATTATCTTTTGTAAATAATAATTAATTAATCTTATAAAAAAATTACTATATAAAATAAAAATATTACTTTCAAAAAATAAATAGTATAAAAGTTAATAGTAATTTGATTTGGTTTTATTTAAATATAATAATTTATATTATCATTAAAAATAAAAATTTATATTAAATGATATAGAACTTTATTTACCTCATTTAAACAATGTCACATCATCAACTTATAGGACATATCATAAAAATGTCACTTAATGGGCTGTGAGACTAAATTTTTGAAAAATTAAATTTGAGGATAAAAAATACAGTTTTTAAACTGATATGATCAAAACTTTAAAAAATTAAAAATAAGCTCGATACATAAAACTTTTTTTGCGTAATTCTCGTTGAGAACGAAATCATATTTAGTATAAGTGTTTACAAATAACTCATTTATAAAAACAACTCTTTAACTAAACTAATTAGTTTTAGTCAAAAAATTAAACTAATTAATTTATTTAAAAATATTCTTTTTTATTATCATGGAATTAGATGTCTTTGTATAATTGACAACTAAATTTGATTAACTAAAAAATATCTATTTTATTAAGAAAATGTACTGATATTTAATGCTCTATATTACTATACATTTTATTTAAAAACATATATATTATAGTAAATATTAAATTTAATAGCTAAGAATAATTTGAATGACATGCCAAGAATATATTCTCTCTTAATCAAAGGCTCCAAGTTCGAATTCAATTATTAATTGATAATTAATAATTATTAAATTTTTTATTAATATTTTTTATTATGTTAATTACTCTTTTTAATATTTTTAAATTTTCAAATTTATAAATAATTTCTTTAAGGAAAATACTCTCTTTTTAAAAAAAAATTATGTTAGAAAATACAATTTATGGTTTCTTAATCAAATATATTTAGTCTATATTTAAATCAAATACGTTTAATTTTTAATCATATTTAATATAAAAGCATATTTCTGAATTTTCTCATAAAACTTTTAATGAAACACTGAATAAAAAGACAATAAGAGTGTATTATATCTGTCTTTAAATATACAACCTTTTTAATTTTTTAATAAGCCTTTCTTTAAATTCTCTATTATATTAATTATTCATTTACTAATATATTGTTTTGTTAGGTATCTTTTATTTTTATAAAATATAATAAATACTTTATAAAAACATTAACGGTTCCTCTCTTAAAGATAAACTTGCAACACACTTTCAATTGTCGAATAAATGATTTAAAATCAAAATCAACTTTTAGAATAAAAGTAGTAATACTTTCTCACTTAAATTAAAGATATAGATATGAATCTTCATAACTTTTAAATTATATGAGACTTATTTGATTTTATTGTTTGATCAATTTTTTTTTGGGTGTTTAACAACATCATCGTCGCTCTTAGAAATAAAAGTTCTCTTGGTGACGTCTATCCATAAAAAATTTTTATCAATCGATAATAAGTGTACATACACGTTCTCTTTTCAATAAGTATAATTCTCGCCTTTTAAAACAAGTGTTCTATTATACACTCTCTTTGGATTGTCATCGTATGTCATATTCTCAAACTTTTGAGTCGATTACACCAAATTAAAAGACCGGCTCTGAGACTAATTGTTGAGATAAAATATAGGATATAAATAGTGTAGAGGGAAGTGAATAGACCCTCATAAAATTTTGAACAATTTTCTAAAATGGATTACCAGAGGTTTTTCAAAATGCAAGTGGAAGTCTTAAAGCGAAGGATTATCATATATGTGAATAGACTCTTATTGGAATTTAATCATGCAAAGACCAAACACGGTTTTATGACAATTTATAAACAATAATTAATCATTTAG